CACTCATATGCCATTAGCAGGCATTGGATCTATATGCACATCACATTTATCCCTTTCAAATGTTTACTATATCCCCAATTATACTTTGAAAATTCTTTCTGTTGGCAATTGTTTGATTTTGATTTCTCAGTTTTACTTTCTTCCACTTTTTTTATGTGCATGATTCACAATCCATGAGGCTTATTGGGACAGGCCGTAGGCAATGTGGACTTTATATTCTGGATGAGCTAAGAGTTCCAGATATTGCAGCTTCCAGTGTTGACTTGTCATCGTTTAGTTTGTGTTCATCATCTTCTAAATTTTATCTATGGCACTCTTGCCTTGGACATGTCTCTTCTTCTCATATAAAATATTTAGTTTCTACAAGAGTTTTGGGATAGTTAAAAACTAGTGATATTTCTGATTGTTGTGGTTATAAACTTGCTAAATTTTCTGCTGCACCTTTTCTAAAAGTGTTTCACTTTTTGTTGCACCTTATAACTTGGTTCATTTAGATGTATAGGGTTCATCACCTGTTGTTATCAAATGTGGATCTAGATATTATGTCTTGGTCATTGATGACTATATTCGTTGCTGTTGGATTTATCTTATGAAAAATCATTTTGAAATTTTTACTGTTTATATTATGCTTCGTGCATTTGTCAAAACTCAACATAATGCTATTATTAAGTGTTTTCAATGTGATATGGGAGGTGAATATATCTCTACTGAATTACTTGCATCTGATAGAACTTTTCTTCAAACTTCTTTTACTGACACTCCTGAACAAAATGGAGTTGCTGAAAGGAAACATCGTCACATTGTTGAAACAACTTGTTCTCTTCTTTTGTCTGGCTTTGTTTCAAGTGAATTTTGGGGGGAAATTATTCTTACTTCAGTCTATATTATTAACAGAATTCCATCTTCTGTTACTCTGAGTTTGTCTCCCTTTGAAAAACTATATGGTCTTGTTCCTGATTATTTCATTTTGAGAGTTTTTGCTTCTACTTTCTTTGTTCTTCTTCTTCATGTACAACGTAATAAATTGTCTTCACGTTCTACATTCTGTGTATTTCTTGGTTATGATGACGGTCAAAAAGGGTATCGTTGTTATGATCCTGTCACTCAAATTTCACTCAAAAAAATTTTTTGTCTCACGTCATGTTGTATTTCTTGAGCATATACCATTTTACTCCATTCCTCCTTTTTCTTATAGCTTTACAAAGTCTGATCTTATCCTAATTGATCCTTTTCACACAGATATAGATATTGAACCTCATAATGTGATTCATCATCCAAATAATCTTCATTTTAAGCTTTGCAAGGTTGACACTGGGAGTTCTGCAGATCCCGATGCTCCCCCTATCCCTACTGCTCCCTAAGGATCTTCTGTGATTGTGGATCCTCCTCTTCCTCGGTACCCTCAACGTGATTGTAAGTCTACTAAACTGTCAGATTTTATTTACTCCACTTATTCTACTTCTTTTGCTTCCTTTTTAATTAACTTTTAACCTCCATTCACAATTTGTCTAAGCCTTCTTCCTATCAAGAGGCTGTTCTTGATCCTCTTTAGCAGAAAGCTATGGTAGAAGAACTCTCTGCTTTGCGCAAGACAGATACTTGGGTCCTTTTCTGTCTTCCTCTTGGAAAACATGCAATTGGTTCTCGTTGGGTGTAGAAAATCAAAACCAAGTTTGATGGATCAAATGAGCGATATAAAGCTCATTTGGTTGCTAAGGGGCTTTCTCAACAATATGGTCTAAATTATGAAGAAACATTTGCTCATGTTGCCAAAATGACTACTATTGGTACTCTTATTGCAGTCGCATCTAATCATCAGTGCATATCTCTTAACTGGATGTTAAAAATGTATTCGTAAAAGGTGATTTTCATGAGAAAGTTTACATGGTGCCTCCACTAGGTGTCTCTCATAATTACGATGAAGTTTTTAAATTAAAGAAAACTCTCTACGACCTTAAACAAGCACCTCGAGCTTGGTTTAAAAAGTTTTCTATTGTGATTGCATCGCTTGGTTTTCATTCTAGCTCACATAACACTGCCTTGTTTCTCAAGAGTGCCTCCCATGGTCATATCATACTCTCTCTAGATGTTGATGACGTGATTATTACTGAGATGATGATAATGAGATTGTAGAGTTGAAATTACAATTAGCTTAACAGTTTGAGATGAAAGATTTGGGTTCTCTTCGATATCTCTTAAGGATTGAAGTGTCTCATTCTTCTAGAGGTTATCTTCTTTCCCAATCTAAGTATATCGACACCATCCTTGAACAAGCTCATCTCTCTGATACTCAGACAACTACTACTCCTCTTGAGCTTAATGTTCATTATATCTCTTATAATGGTGCTCCTTTGTCCAATCTCACTTTGTATCGTACACTTGTTGACAGCTTGATATATCTTACCATCACTAGACCTGATATTTCTTATGCAGTACATGTTGTCAGTCAGTTTGTTGCCTCTCCTACTATAGTTCATTGGGCAGCTATTCTTCGCATTCTTCGTTATCTTCGGGGCACTCAATTTCAGAGTCTTCTCTTTCTTGCATCTTCTTCCTTGAAATTACGTGCCTACTCAGATGTTGATTGGGGTGGTGATTCCACCAATCGTAAGTTTATCACATGATTTTGTATTTTTCTAGGAGATTCTCTCATTTCTTTGAAGAGTAAGAAGCAAACAGTTGTCTCTCGCTCTTTTACCGAAGCTGAGTATCGTGTCATGGCATCCACTGCAGAAATTGTTTGGTTGCACTGGTTACTTGTTGATATGGGTGTCTATTTCTCTAGCCCAACTCCTATGTATTGTTATAGATAACAAGAGTGTTATACAAATTGCCAGCAACTCAGTCTTCCATGAGAGCACCAAACATATTGAAATTGATTGTCATTTCACTCATCACTTTCAACATGACACCATCACCTTACCCTATATTTCTTCCTCCATATAACTTGCTAATGTGTTTATGAAATTACATTCCACTCAACGCTTTTATTTTTTAGCTAGCAAACTCTCGATGATTCCCCTTGATGCATCATGAGTTTGAGGGGGGATGTTAGATATTATAGCTTTGTATTTCTATTATTTTACCCTACTTAAGGGTAGTTTAGTCTTTTTACTTATTGTATATATCTATGCTCTTGTAATGAGGTAATTGAGGTGACTGAAATCCTAATCACTTTTCTTTGTCTCTTTTCTTTCTCTTCTCCTTCTCAATCTCAATTGTAATTGTTAACAAAACTCACGCAGGTCTCATCTGTAAAGCTCGATACCTCAACCTTTGCTACCTTCGCTGTCGTTTCATCTATAATGTCTGTTGTTGTCTTGTCCACAAAGTTAATTGACACTATTTGTCGTCTCCCTGCACCATGCAATTGTGCTCGCTCTCGCTCATTCCCTCCTGTTCCCCACACACCTTGCTTGTCTCATTCCATTTCTTTTTTCATTGTTTTTTGTTTTGTTTGGGGTTAATATCATCGTCTCTTTGTTGCATTTGTGATGTCCCGTAATTAAATAAATAAAAGGGAAATTACTAGTGCCCGTTTCATTTTTTAGAGAAATGGTGAACGAGGGGAAGAGTAAGGGGCGAGGTGAAGCGGAGTGGAGTGGGAGTGAAGTGAGCCAGGTGGATCCCTTTGTTCATTATAAGGGAGGCAAGCAAAAGGGGAAGTGAAAGGAGCAAAATAGAGAGCAAGAAACATAAAAATTGAGCGAGAGGGAGAAATTGAGTTGGAGATAAAGGAAATTGTGCATGTTGGCGAGTGAGATCAAGTTCAATCAAAGCTGAGCAAGTTTGGCCTTGAAGAGACAAGGAGTGAACCAAGAGAAGAAACATGCAAGCGGAGATGCACGGCGGAGAGTAGCTACTTAGAGTATGTGCATTCTTGTGTGCTTGAGGCTGAGAATTAGAAAAACATGAGTACCCTTATTTTAGTATTTGATGTGCTAATGTTCGTCTTCCACAATGGTTTCAGCATTCACTTGACGGAATTTCTAAGATTTTGGTAGTTTTGGTTTCTTAGACTAGGGCTGTCAAAAAAGCTCACTGTTCGCGAACAGCTCGTGTTTGGCTCGTTAAGTAGCTCGTGTTCGGCTCGTTCGTTAAGTAAACGAGCCGAACACGAACAACTTTTTGTTGGCTTGTGTTCGGCTCGTTTTAGCTTGAAATTAAAAATATATATATAATTATTTATATAATTATATTTTATATATATTTATATCTAAATTTAAATCATAACATCTCGTGTGGCAATGTGATTAGTGTTTTCTTTTATATATATTGGATCCAGGTTCGAATCTCACACTTTATATTTATTTTTTTCAATTTAATTTTTATGAGCCAATTTCGAGCCGAACACGAGCCAAATACGAACACGAATATTTAAATCAAGTCGAACACGAACACACTGTTCAC